TACTCCATGATGGTGTCCTTTACACCTTTCTCCAGCAGATATCCTTCTGTCTCAATTTCTGTATTTTCCTTCCCTACCACTGCCTCCATGGCAGTCTGCAGGAATCGTAAGCTCACCAGTACAGAGCCCTAGGAAGGAAGAATACGTCAATATGGAGATATTCCAGAAGTGGTTGTAGAAGAATATTGCATACATTCTGACAACAAATTAATGAGAGATCAGTTGATATTTTTATCAAGCTTTTCACTAATGACATTTAAATGATACAACTGCAGGAACTGCATTTTGAACACATGACAATTTTAAATTCAGTGTACTTTTATAACACATTTGCAGTACTAGCAGTACCTAAAAAGGAAATGTTGTGCTTTGATGAGCCACTGAGTTAAAAGCTCACCTAAGCACCACCAACTCTGCCTGAAATCTCTGTAAAACCACAGTAAACCTTCATATAGTATACCTGTAAGAGGAAGACAGAAAGTACTCCAGTGCCGATGGTGCTCATCAGGCTCGTGTAGTAGCTGACCAGGGTCTCTCTGCAGCCTCGGAGGTAGAGGTTGAGCTCCTCAGTCTGGTGGTCGTAGTTATAGTGAGCTGAGTTGTTGGTGAGCTGATACTGGATGCATGGGCGTGGAGAACTGGGGTTGCAGCAACTGAATGGGACTCCATCTATCAAGTAACGGCCATCGACATTGCTCTTGATGCGACTAAAGAAACAAGTAAAAGATGTGCATCAGAAAACTGCCATTGCTCCTTTATGATGGCTCATCTTTAGGTACAGGTCTTTGTTTTTCTATAAATATTCACAGATGTTCACAACTTACTCTTTCACTTCCTTAGAGCTGAAGTCAAGGTAGCGGTTGCTGATCCACTGGACCTCAAACCAGTCCCGGAAGTCACTGTTTCCACAGCACTGAAACTCCATCTGCAGATAGTCGATGTTCTGTTTCTGGTAGCAGTGGCCTGGGGTATCTGTGTCCTTGTAAAAGCGGATGCTGTTCTTCAGGCCAACCTTCAGAGAAGACTCCAGACTGCCCTTCATTGCATAGCTCATGATGACAGCCAGCAGCATGAGAACAGTGAAGAAACAAGAGGCAGCAAAGTAGGGTTTTAAGAAGTTCTTCCAGCGAGGAAATCGCTCAGCATCCAGGGCATCCTGACAGATTTTTGAAGCAAAGTAGTTGATACCCAAGGAGGCAAGACCAACTATCATGAGGGTATTGGGCACAACATGTATGTTTCCGCTATCCATTACCTGTAAGCAAATTACACAGTAATACAATGAATGAAATAATGTTTGACTAAAATTACCTGAAAGTCTAAATTCATCTATATGTTGAAAACCACAAACAAATAAAATTCTACAAAGTGTTCATTGGTACTGGAAAAAATATCAGACCCAAGTGACTTTTCTGTGACTGAAATTTTAAATAGAAATAGAAATGTACATTACTTATATGAAAAAGTCTTACAGTTAGTCAAAAATACTTATAAAGAGTTTCTCAGTTTTGAGCACTTAAATGTGTTGCTCAAGCCCACCTACTAGACAGGCAGAGTAAAGAAACCAGAGTAATGTTCTGTCATCTGTTAATATGGTATTGGCCAGTGAGGTTATAGGGTGCTGTATATGAAATATTACATTGTGTGAAAATGTTTTTGTTTTGTTTTGTTCTTCTTTTTTCTGGCATTTGTTTTGTTATGATTCCAGAAAAGATAAAGGTAATGTAAAAAGATAACACAAACCGATGGCTATATATTCAACAGGAGTGGGTGAGCTCCATAACCAGCAATATTCTGGATTTTGGATTAAGTATATATATTGCTGATTTATGCAGAGAATCTTTGCACAACCCAGATGTCTGGAAATTCACAGACTACCTGATATGCTGTTTTTGGTATAGAGAGGACAGGTGGACTTTTACACATGTTTTAAATGCTTACACTAATTTTAGTTTTGTGCAAAAATGATGGGATGAAAATAATATGTGACATAAACTACAATGTAATGTATATCTAGTATGCTTTTCATTTTATTTTTCTTTTCCTATTCACCACCTGCATTTCCTTTTTACAGCCATTGCAGCATGAAACAATAATAACAAATAATAACTCCAGTTATCAAAGGATAAAACTTTCAAGTATGTCAATAGGGCCTCCTTCTGTTACCAAATCCTTATTACTGGAAATATTATTTTGTTACTGTCACTAAAATAATGTAGATGATGGTATACGCTGTGCAAAGATGCAAATAAATCATTCAAACTATTTAAATGTGGAATAATAAGATAAAAACACAGCACTCAAAATGAGGGATTAGAGTGATAAGACCAACAGGGGCTGGTTGATTACATGATGAATCAGGATGCAAAGTGGGTCACAAGTGCATCTACCCTTTCTTGGTCTCCACTTGTCCCTTTTTTAACATGTACAGTCAAACCAACTGTGCCAGCAGTTTAAAAGCAGGACAGGCACAGGTGGTATTTGTCAAGTGTACTTGATGATATTCATGTAAAAACACCATTTTCATGTGTAATCACCTGCATCATTTTATAACTTGAAACATATGCTGCCCTTGATGTAGTTTTTCAGCACAACAATTAATATTTATGTTGTCTCTGTCACAAGTATAATCAGACTAAAGGTATCTATTGATTTTTTTCCCAGTGTGACATAGTTGGCCAACATATACCTCTATTACACTGAGAAAATCACAGTTAAACAGGAATCACATATACTTGGATTTAGTTTCTGGCAACTCAAATGTAAAAAAAAAAAAAAAACCATTCAGACAAAACTAACCTTTGGAAGTTTGAGCTCAGCTTCAAAGTCACAGCGTTTACTGTAAATTTAGAAAAGTACCTCTGCCCTCCTGCGGAGCTCCATCTTGAGGATGCACCCCAGGGTGAAGGTAATGGCACTGGCCACTGTGGTACACCAGGAGAGGAGCCACAGTCCTTGAGCAAGCTTCACCCTTTTCTGAAAAGAGAACTTCATCTTCATCACTACCATGGTTGCAGCAAGGGGCTGTGAGACTTACCAGAGGAACAGGGGAAGGAGAGTGACAAGGCAAAATGTGTTGATGCTGTGCTTGTCTGTGAGGGAGGAGAAGAGGTGAGAGGCAAAGGCTCAGAGTTGAAGATGACAGAAGTGAACTTCACTGTTTAGTTTAAAAAATAAACCACTAGCAATTGAGCATGTACAGTTAAAATCTTTGTGAAGAGAGAAGGAGGTCTGCCAAGAGAAAAAACTTTTTTTTCAAATATGAAAAAGTCAAGAAAGCGTAGCATAAAATTCTTGGAGAAAAATGTTTTCAAACTTCACATCTTGAATTTAATAGATGATAATGTGTCAAAGTTCACCTTATTTGTATCCCCAAAAGGTGCTGAAAAAAAAAAACTCTGGTTAGCTCCACCAACCACTGTTTATCATCCAGTGTGCCACATAGTGGATTTGGCACACTGGATTTGGCAAACCTTAACACCGGGAGCGTCTTATAACTAATGCCTACCCATCCTATTAAACTGGTCTGTGAATCCAGGCCATTGTCTGCTTAGCGCCCATCACTTATACAGAGGGACATGGATTACAATACATATTGAATATGATATGGAGAAGACTATGATTCTATTAACTCTTCACAACCCAAATTCCAACGCAATGGGGAATCATTTGAGATTAAAAGATAATTAGAATTGAGAAAAATTGGAGATGCAAACTGATAAGAAATCAGGATAAAAGTCCCATTTAGGCTATTTATTTTCAAATTTATTTCCCATTTTTGCTCCTTATAATAAATTTGTGACCTTAATAAGAAGAGTTGAAAGTAAAACAACCACAACATTAATGTCTATGGTCAGTAAAGTAAATTTACACTGATAAAATATTTATTTTTAGCCATGGTAGAGAGGAATGACTAGTGGTAGAGAAAGTGTTGATCATCCTATAATGCCCATGGGGTGCTCAGAGCGTTAAATATACTGTAACTCTCCCTTTGGTGTCTATGTGCCACAGTGTCACAGCTCTTGCCAGTCACATGTATTTGTTTTTACGGTTGGGTTGTCTGCAGAAGTTAAGTAAGTTTCAGCCAGACAGCATGAAGAGGCTCTTAAAGCCATCCTGAGTCATGTAAAATCTTGTCTTTACACACAAACCACAACCAGGAACAAGATTCATCATTTCTAGTTCTTCCTGCTTTTCCACAATAGGGCACTGTGGAATGCCACCAAAGCACTCTGAGGCCACCTGGGAGATGTAGTCCATGCCTTGGAACTGAGCCAGACTCACTGGCCCTCATGCACTGTGAGTAAATGAGGAAATTATGTTCACTTTGCAGGTGCCACAGCGGTACAATGGTTAGTGCTGTCGCCTGTGTGGAGTTTGCATGTTCTCCCTGTGCCTGTGTGGGTTTTCTCCGGGTACTCCAGTTTCCTCCCACAGTTCAAAGACATGCAGCTTAGGTTGACTGGCCACTATAAATTGCCTGTGACTGTGTGTGGTTGTCTGTCTACATGTCAGCCCTGTGATGGATCGGTGACCTGCCCAGGGTGTACCCCGCCTCTCACCCAATGTCAGCTGCAACCCTAGTCAGGTTCATGTTTTGATCAACCTCTGTAAAAGTACTTCTATACTTCACAGTGTTGATTCAGCAGGTATCAGAGATAAACTATGAGAATCTACACAGTTTAATGCCATTCACACAACAACCATCATGAAGACTTTACAACCACGTTAGTGGCTTTTTGAGACTTTAGTGCAGTGCAGAAGCAACTGTGCTTTGAGCTGAATTGTCAGCTTTTCCTTCTCAATAAGTGATGGGTTAGGTCATGTCATCTATATTCACATAGCTTGTCATCAAAACACCTGACAAGTCTTGTGTAGCAAAGTATTGCACAGGCCCCTTACGGATCCTCCTGCAGGATCCGTAAGGCGCCCCCCCCCCCGAAGAGAGAGAGAGAAGTTACTCAACACTAGTTTGGTATTATATTGTGGTATAATACAGGCACTGTATATAGGACATCATTCACAGTTATAATCTTAAAAGTAAAACTGCATTCTTTAACCTCTCTGTGAGGCTGCTGAGCTCTGTCTCCAAAAGGTTTTGGTTGCTTATGAATTCTTCTCCTAAGCACTCCATCCTCATTGCAGTCTTCAGTAAACTTTGATGCAGGCCTTCATTCTCCTCCTGTAGCACCCTATTAGGATACACAAACAAATGACAAAACTAAATGAATTTTTCTAAATTTATTTTATGAGACATTCTTTCATTATTCTTATTTTACGCATTGTATTAAAACCTAAAAATATTACATCACACTTACATGAATCTCCCTAGATCATGTGCCTTGTTTTAAAGGGAAAAAAACTAGCTTGACAAGAAAAACAAATTTAGAATTATTATTGATACTCAAAAATTAAAGTAAAAAAATTAGCTAAGAACTGAAAGAAGAACAAATAACATCAGTTTGGTTGTTAATTTGATTACCATTACTTTGTGACTTTGTAACTAATCTACTGTTCTGTTATAACTAATCTATTGCCCACAGTGACCTGCACACTGATGCCCAAATCAATGGGCAAATGAGTGGAACATTACCACATAGCCTGTTAAACTACTGACCTGATAATAATTTCCAAACGAACATATTGCAGTTGGTGACTTTATGAATGAGTACAGTCTTAAACATAATGCCATACTTTATGTAATGATGAGTCAGTAAAGCTAGTCTCATCCAGGCTGGAGGGGATGCAGCTATTTCTGGGTGAATTCGTCTTGCTAAAAAGAGACTCTGACTTCCTTTGAGAAGGCGGACTGCCAGCAAAATGCCCCTTTAAATGAGTGTGGTAGTAGTGGGATTGGTTAAGATGTTCAGGGTAATGGTCATGGAAAAGACCCGTATTACAGTCATCACCATGGTGATGCTGGTGGCCTGGGTTGTGCTGGTCTCCATGGTGTTGTTCATGAGCTTCATTGTGATGCTGATGCAATTCACTGTGATGGTCTCCATGATGATGTTGATTTTCTGGACTTTGGTGGTCTCCATGAGAGCCAGTGAAGTGATCTCCATGGTGATGGTGTTGGTCTTGACTGTAGCAGTCTCCAAGGCCATGATGATGAGATTCACTATGGTGGTCTCCATGGTGATGCTGGCTGACTGGGCTGTGGTCGTGCAGCTTCTGGGCCTGTGATACATGTGATGGGGTGAGACTGTAGAATGGTGACTGTGATGACAATGGAAAGGTTTAAAGTGAGAGAGCTGAGTATGGTGACTGCTGGTCTGGGAGCAGTTGCTGGAGCTAACTGAGTCTCCACTGGCAGGCTGAATCCCATGCTGTCTGTGTTTCTCAATGCCGCTGTCTACCATACTGGATCTAACAAAGGCCTGTTGTGGACTGCAAGGTCTTTGAGCATCTGTAACCCCAAGATGGTGAGTCTCATTGTGCTGAGCACCTGCTAAGTTATCTCATTAAGGAGGGCAGTGTTAGAAATTAATAAATCAGTCAGATAATTATTAGACTTTAATGTAGTTTAGTAAGATTCAAAGTCTACTCTAGTCTGCTTTGTTTCAAGGTTAGAAGACAATGTTGATTCTGAAAAGTGTACCTTGACACAAATTGTTTTCTTGTATTAATCTCGTGTTTTAGAATTATGTCTGAATGAATGTTTTAGTTACACACCATGTAACAACACACACACACGGAATTCTAGATTTTGTTATGGCCAGCGGCTCCATGCAGCTGGAGCTGTAGATAAGAGAAGGAGATGCCGGACTGTCTCCAACTCGTGATGTTTTTATATCTGTCTGTGTAAGGGGTCAGCCCAAAAACTTATAAATGTATTAGGCTCTGTGTTTTCGGCAGCTTTTCTGAAGGAGGGAGCCACCCGGGCTGTCTCTCGTAATTTTATTTGTGGTTTTAAAATAAATCAGCACTAAAATGAAGAAAGACGGACTCCTTCGTTATTCAGATCTGTCCAATTAAAGAACTGGGGTATTACAGCAGAGAACTTAATTTTTTTCCTTCATTAATTTCTCCCTGGCTTCATTTTTCCTCTTTTGTTCATTTTTATATTCACTTCCATTTTCTCTTTGTTTGGGTCTAGTGAGGGCCTCCATTGATTTGACTCTGTGGAAACTTACAGCATTTCCTGAACCTCTTATAATCTTCTGTGCGTTCTTAAGGATGCCCTGGGTAGGGCCACTGCGAGAACACTTCTCTTTCTCCTGTTTCTGTTTGGCAGAGACCCTGTCACCTTTTTTATCTAAGGCACTGTGTCGTCTCCTTCATCAAGGTGTCTGTGTTTCCAAGAAATATCAATACAGGACTGTGAATGCTCAGGCTTTCTAAGTGGATATCTATCCCAACACTCACTGCTGGTCTCAGAAGAATGTTTAGAGGAAGAGGAACATACTGAAAAGGAGGAAGAAAATGAAGAGGAGGAAGAAGACAAGGAACCACTTGAGGAACTCAAGGAGGTTTCTGAAAGAAGGACATGGTGACAGTTGTGTGTGACGGTAGTGATGACAGTGAAAACGATAAGACTTGTCACTATCACACTGATGTTGCTGGTCGAGGAGATGATCACTGAAAATGTGTTGAACCAGTGCTTTTTAAAAAAAATCATGGGTGAAAAACTTTACTACTTATTGTACTTTCTTTCAAAAACAAAACAAATACAGAATTTTACATCTTATTCTAGTTACAAAATTGGATAGAGATTTTCTAAATGAATTAAGAGCACAGGAATGTTATTACAGTAGAAAAAATGCCAGACTTACTCGTGGCTGTAACTGTTATCTGACTGATGTAACCTTTGGTGGTAGTGGTAATGACAATGCCCTTGATCTTGATGATGGTGCTTAATTTGTTTTGATTTTGAGTTAGCAGTCTTACCAACTTTTTTGACCTTTTTGTTGTTGGTCACACATTTCAGACATATGACTTTTGATGCCTCTGTTGCCCTGATGAGGATGCAAAGGTCTGAAATATTTCTCTATCAGCTGAGTGATGTCCTCAGAGACTGGTACATAATGAACCCTGAGAAAATATTTTTATTCTTTACCACTTTATTGAATAATTCAGTCTGCTTTGATTATTATGCTAGTCATTCAATTTACAAAATGAATACAAAAATAGAAACAAGGTAAATACTTAAATTTTAATTCATGAAGTTTAAATCAAGCCTTAGCATTCTAATGTTCCTATCATTATTATAGTTATCTTATACTATGTTGTCATTATTATAGTTCAGAGCGCAGTTGCAGAGAAATTGTCTAGTATTTTTCTTTTTAACAATACAACCAACATCTGCACTCACCTTCTCAAAAGAGCCCCAGGAATGACACCGGCCCAGGTTTTCATCAATGTGTACCAGCAACACACTGATTCTCTCACCTTCTACATGAACTGTGAAGCACATCACAATCACACATCAATATATATATATACTCCTGTGCCATCCAGGGGCAGAGGGGTAAGTAGTTGCACACAACTGCTTTGACCTGTATTAACTCTACTGTGTACTGTTACATGATGCTTATGAAATTATGTACTGTGCAGTGGTGAATTGTGCAGAGTGTAGAACGTCAATGGGAACTGTTGCCCTTCAAAGCTACTGACATATCAGAGAGAGTTCAGCAAATAGCCTTTCCATAAACACGACCAAGGTCTCAGTTCTATCGCTGAGCTCCCCAACCTCCACAGGACTCCACTGAGGATGCCCTGAGCTCACTGCACCACTAGGGGAAGCAGTGTGCAAAATATCTGTATATTTGTGTCAAGTCAGAACACCACAGTGAGGCCATTCACCAGGTTTTATTGATGGGGCATGTCTGCCTCTTTGTGAAAAAGTACATGATCTTTGGGACAAGTTTAGAGGATCTCCCCCTCCAGCCTCTATGGCTATGACATACTTGTCTCTATTTAGAGTCCATTCTTCACCCTTTGTGCAAGAATTGTTTATGTACAGGATATGACAATGTGATATTATGCACATTTTTTAAAATGAAATCTGTAATTTACATTTAAGTAAACAATTTTGTCCATCTTATTTTTTTTTTCCTCTGTTATCTGGATTTCACCACTGCAAAGTTTGATAAAGTTGTCAATTTGATCATTTAAAATATTTTTAGCCAGAAATTCAAGCAGCACTGCATTTTCACAAAACAAGAACTTTGAATTCAAATGACGCATTGCTACACGTATCCATCTCACGATGATCCATGCTTTTGTTACTCATAACTCGTTAACAGAGCTTGATTGCAGATAAAAGTCACATACACACAAAACGTGTAATTACATGTGAGCTTTTATTTACAGCACACCACTGTAATTATTCAAAGATGGTCAGAGTTTAGTGTACCAGGGTGGTCTGTGTGGTCCTTGTATGATTTTGAAAAAGTATTAAACATCACTTTAGTACAATATTGTGTTCAAAGGAAGAGGAGCAATTTACTGTAATAGCATCAATAAGCAGCTTGTTGAGAAATGGGCAATAGAATAACTGAACTTTTGAGCTATTGTACTCAAATGTGTAATAATACTACAAGTTTTTCTAATATATTCGAGTATTAATATACTCTCGATTTTGCCTAAATCCAGCATTAGGTATTGGTCACAAAGCATGAACTTGAAAGAGCATCAAAATGCTGAAAACCTGTAGCATTTCCATTTAATAGACAAAAAGAAGAGGCTGGAAAAAAACAGAAAAATCTACACACAGTTATGTATGGAAAACCTAAAAGCAATGCACTCAATTTCATAATACAGACCCTCATAATTAGCTGTGTATTAACTATCTGAGGGAGATGTAGGTTTCCAGTTGTGAGGGCCACCTCTTCGCTATAGGAGAAACACAATTCAAATCAGCAAGTTGAATCAGTTTATAACTGTATAAATATCACTGAACATTTTGTTGCTGATCATATACAGTCTGACATTTTTGCCAGAGAATAATGCTCTTCCAACAACAGTGTTTCTTTAGTTACAGAAGTTGCTTTTTTGGATCACAGGAAACCTCCTGAATACTATGAAATATTTTTATGGTCTGTAAAAGATGGAAATGAATGGAAAAGGGGACTGCCGCCATTCTAAAAGGTGCAGTGGCTCTTTTCTCTTTTCCTTTCAAGTTGGGTAAGCAGCTCCCTCTGTTGGGCCAACCAAGTATTGGAAAGTCCCATTTCTGCTTGTTCTACACATGCTTAAGTTGTGTAAAACAAAAATAAAAGAAGGAATCAATGCTTTTTATCAGTTTTTCCCCACACGAATGTTGGGGTTAAGAAGAGGATCTAAATTTGGGTCTGACCCAGCTGAGGCACGTCCAAGTTTAGCCATGATGATTATCAAGGTAAAGAATCCCAGAACTCCGACCAGAAGAAGCATGAAGACCCGCTGTTTCCAGGACAGAGATGTCCGTTTTCCAACTGTGCGGTTCCTGAGAAAGTTACAATGTTTTTAATATCATAAGTCACAAAAGCATTTCAATATTCCGTTATTCCTGGTGTCAAAGTAATGAAAGAGAGCTCCACTTCAACAACATAGTATCATAATACTAACTTGAGAATCTGTGCAAACCAGCTTAACGCTGGTCGTCGCCTGTACTTGTCATCATCGAAGTCAATCTGTGTGACAGAACTGTTACCAATGTCCCGTGTGTCATAGATTTTTCTTGGTGATGATGCTGAAGAACAACAACAAATTAGCTTTTTAATCTACCAACAAAGAAGAAAACTATGTATTACATGTTCAGTATGTGCACAAAACAAACCTAGAAAACTGTTCTGAATGTTTTAAGCTACATACAGAAGCACAAAACTGTACTCAGAGGGCTTTTTTTTTTTTTTTACAATTACCTGTGTTTATAGTAATTGTGTCACTGGTGGTGGTGGCAGTAGTGAAATTGATCACCGAGTGTTCCTGCATGCTTGGATCCCCATTTTTACGAGGACCTCCAAGGTCTTCCTGTCTTGGGGGTGAGACAGAATTTGGTGGTAGGCTGAGACTGGTCTTGTATGAGTGGCTAGGGTATATGCTACTTTGTTCTTGTGCTGTGGACACACAAAAAAAGAGAATCTGATTATCTGATGATGTTGCACAGTGCTGACTTTCACCACAAATTAATCCCTTAAATAACATTGTGTAAACGGCTATAAAACATGCATGTTGAAATTTACTGAAAAGTATTCATTAAGGCTCACCATCAAATGTTGACCAGTCAGTATAATCTGTGACATCATTAGCTATGGTCTCTTCGAGTACCTTACTGGCCTCTTCAATCTGTCACTCAAGAATCACATTTTATTAATATTTTAGAACACATCTTTACAATTTGCCTTTTTAACACAACTGGAAAATGCAGTTCTGATTCAGTATTTTTTTTTTCCTCACTTGATTTATTGTCAGGAAAATTGTCTGATTGCAAAATCACAAAAACAACAACAACAACAACAAAAACAAGGGCCCTTACCAGTGGCAGGCCTAAACCAGCTCTAGCCCAGTTAACAGATGAAAGCTGTTCTTTCAACACATCAGCAACTGGGCTGGCCAGGTTTGAAGGGGGAAACACTGGACCCTGACAGGTAGGACACTGGTATCCTGCTGGGGCTGTGTGGAGGGGCAGCTGAGATGCCAGGTTATTAAGACAGGACCAGTGGAACACATCTGTGGAATTAAAAAAACAAACAAACAAAAAAAAAAAACTTTCACATCACAGATGGGATGTCATTTTTTTCAATGCTGTGGGCAGAAAAATGGAACATTCCATTTATCTTTAATTGTTTTATATCCACAGATACAACTAGGAGTAAGTGGAAAATGTGTAGTTTGTAATTTGGTTGAATGGTTCCCTTAGACGTCAGAGGATTTTCTAAAAGAAATTTGGCAATCTTACCATAGCAGACCAGTCTGACTGTGTCTTGAAGAGTCAGAGGATTATTACACAGAGCACAGATGGGGTTGTAATCGCTATCCTGAAGCCATTGCAAATATGACTGCACAATACACTAAAGGGCACCAAGTGGGGGAAAAAAGAAGAAGAAAAAAAAGAATTTTAAGGTAGTGTTACAAGTTTTTTACAAAGATTAGTGTAGTACTTGTTCACCCACAGACCTTGTTGTGGTTGGAGACAAGGCAGTGCTCGCACACATTTACACGATGCTCGAAGCAGAATAAATTGGTCACCTTTCTCTTCGGACACTTGCAAAGACCCATAACCACCTAAGGTGGGAACAAACAAACAAGTGCAGGTTGTGAATGAATAAAACAAGAAGTCCTCAGACTTAGGTGTCCAGTTCTTATCATTATGTAAATTACAGACTGTCCTCCTGTTTAGAATGATCAACAAGAAGAAGGTTTACTAGAAAATGCACGACTTTAAAGGGTATTTACTACAATGGAACCTCGGTTTTCATGATTAATCTGTTCGAAGAAGTCCGACGAAAACCAAATCATACGAAAACTGAAGCAATATTTCCCATAAGAAATAATGTAAATCCAATTAATCCGTTCCAGACACACAAAAATATTAACAAAAAATACATTTTATAGAGAATAACTATATTATTACATACAAAAAACAATGAGAAATAAATATAAATGACTAATGAAATGGATAAATGAACATTTAACATCACTTTTACCTTTATTGAAAACTCTTGTTGGCGTATGGAAGACGGCGAGGAGGGGAGAGGGAGGAGGAGAGGTTATTGTTTGGAAGGGGAATCAAGGCCCTATCTGGGGTTACTTCCCTTCACTCATTTCTTCCAGGAAATGAGTGGCCGAGTCACGCGGGCAGGTGGACGAGTTTGGTACGGACTAATGATGCTGAACCAACCAATCAACTATACGAAAACTGAGCGGATGTACAAAAACTGGGACAACATTTCGATGAAAAAAGTCGTTGAAAACTGAATCGTATGAAAAGTAGGGCGTACAAAAAGTAGGGCATACAAAAACCGAGGTTCCACCGTACATCTATAATATTTATCGTGAGGCTAATGTTCTGGTGAGTAGCCACAATGGCCACTCTTATATAGGCCTAAATATTCCCACCAGTTTTAGTTATCAAGTTGTTTTTCCAGTGCTTATAGGGTTATTATTTTAGAGGGAATTTTCTGAGGTTTTTGTTCTGCCTAGGTGAACTAATTACAAAGGGGTTTTCATGAGTGTTCCTCATAAGTACTTTACTTAGATTACCTTACTGTCATGTAATAAGTAGAGAACGAGAGAGTATCAACTGAGGCCAAAACCCCTTAAACATTATAATAGTGATTAAGAGCTACAGTGCTGTTGAAAAGTATTTGCCCCCTATTTGCCACTCCTGGGAAGGTTCACCACTGTTCTATATTTTCCATTATTTGTGGATAATGGCTCTCACTGTGGTTCACCGGAGTCCCAAAGCTTTAAAAATGGCTTTCTAATCAATCAGTAATCAAGCCTGGGTGTGGCTTTCCAAAACCTTGCAAAAAATGTGACTAACCACAGTAAATTCATGATTTAACAAAGGGGGGCAATTACTTTTTCACATAGGGCCATGTAGGTTTGGATAGTTTTTTTCCCTTAATAAATAAAATCAACCCATAAAAACTGCATTTTTTGTTTAATTGGGTTATCTTTGTCTAATATTTAAATTTGTTGATGATCTGAAATATTTAAGTGTGACAAATGTGCAAAAAACAGGAAAACAGGAAGGGGCAAATACCTTTTCACAGCACTGTAGATGTGTATTCCTAAATCATGTCCACATCATCAATATAGACAAGCAATTAGGGTTAACATGCCATGTAATTTAATTATAAGCGGCTGGCTAATACTGTCAATGGCTCCTGTGCTAAGCTTGTTGACAATTGACGCAATTTCTACCTAAATATAACCTACCGTGCACATTTCGGGAGGTCATGCGTCAGAATCTGAGGTTCCATATCAGGTTTATGGCACAAAGCACTAGGTTTTGTCTCCGACAAAACATTTCACAGCTTAATTCCGACATTTAGCGGTTAGCTGATCAAACATTAGCTGTTAACATATTACCCGGAAGGTAACGCTTTATCATGTGCGATAACATTAGCGAGCTAATCTACCTAGCAGATGCGGTTAGGTAAGCTAAGTTCCGACGCAAATGATGAATAATTATGTTACCTGACACACAGACTTCACTGAAGTCCCATTCGTTTCAGGCAATGCTGTATAACTGTCACTTAGTCACTTAGCTTTCCTTGTCAAATTCACATAAGAGGCGTCTCCAAAAGCTCTTCTGTTTATGTGCCACGTCTCTTCCGCTACTACGTCTTCTTCGTGTCTTTTTTTTTTAAACAAACAAACAGATGAACTCTGCCAACTACTGAGTCGGAGTGCATGTTTCTTAGATTTTTTAAAACAATGTTTTAACAATTAGGTAATCTGCATTAAGTGGCAATACTGGTGTATGGTTTAGCTATGCGAACAATGTAGACAAGTTGCTGTTGTCTTTCGTCCTCACAAAACTGTTGATGGTATTCTGTTTAATTTCATATGGAAAAACAAAACACATGATGTAAAGAAGCCTGTTGTAATGAACACTTATGACAAAGGAGGGCTTAACTTTCTTGATTTTCACACTTTTAACAATACCTTTATAATTGGTTGGTTGAGAAGGTATCTTCAAAACCCAGCCTCAATTTGGAACTTTATTTCTGAACATGTGTTTTCTCACTTGGGAGGTTTAAAACCTCCTGATGTGCAACTTTAGTATAGACAAAATTCCTGTAAAGCTACCCTCCTTTCATAAGCAATGTTTGGTATCCTGGTCCACGATTTAGACGTACAGTTTTTCACCAAACAGATATATAATCTGGAATAACCAATACATTTTGTATAAGAACAGATCTATATTCTTTGAACATTGGTTCAATAATAATATTGTGCTTGTAAGTCAGCTTTTCAATGACCAAGGATTGGTCTTTACTTATCAGGCATTTCTATGTCATTATAAGATCCCAGTTACTCCTAAAGACTTTGCTAATGTGTTTGGTGCTATTCCCTCTAGCATACTAATATTATTCAAAGGTTATCCCCATCCAAATACTATTCCTTCTATTGATCCAGCGCTCACCTGGGGAAATGTGTTTTTCTGCAAAGAACAATAGGAAAATTCTCTTCTTATTTCAAAAGGAAATTGTTTCTCTCCCTAATGCTACCAGTTACTGGAGGAGATATATATCTGACATTAACTGGACAAAAGTATGGTGCCTACCTCAGAAGTACTTTGTGGTAAATAAAGTGAAGGATGTGATATATGTATATAAGATTATACACAGATGCTATCCAACAAAACATTTTTTTTATTTTGAAATATCTAAAACTTTAACAGTTCTTTCTGTCGCTTTTTATTAAGAATTTGTAGCTTTCCCTTTATTTGTTTATTTCATCTAATTAATTCTGATATAGTTTTTACTCCTGGCACTGTTCTGTTCTGTTATGTTTTCATTATACTGTATTTGCACTTTGTGAAATTAAAAAAAAGTTTTTTGTCCTCACACTGCCATTTTGTTTCTTCTTCTTCTTCTTCTTCTCTTGTTCAATATGTTACACAGCCTATCCCAAATAAGGGTTAAAAAGCATTTTGATCTGTGTAGTTGAGAAGGTTTCTTTAGTCTACTTACCATCCATCCATCAGCTGTTTCCACTTATCAGTGAGAGCTTATACTAGCCAACCTTGGTTGACAGACAGGGTACACTGTTGATAGGGGCCAGTCAATAACAGGGTTGACATAAAACCATTCATGCTCAAATTCACACTGCTCAACTATTACTGTATATATACTGCTTACAGTATAGCTGCTATACTGCACATAGCTAACCTGCCTGTGCAGGACATACACTGACATGTAAACTTAACTGAATTAAGATAACACGTGGCCTCTTTTCTACTGCAATCTGTCTTATGGTCACAAAACCTAGTTGTTTGACATTGTAGGCTATATTTATGATTAAAGTTAGCCTATTTACAAGGAATTTTCAATTATTCTAGTGGACTTTACCTTAAAAATGTAGCCTATTTGTCACTTTGAATTGTTTTACAATCAACCCCTCTTGTCCTCCAGCCATATAGTTTCACTACATGTCTATATTAAACTGCAATACAACATAATAAAGAAAGTTCACTTGGGTTTAAATTTTCTTTTTTTTGCACACCTGGTATTCAAGCCCCTATTTAGCCTACTGTGGATATTTTGTTTTGATGATATTGCTCTCTTTGCTGCGAAGCCTGTAGTCAAAACAGTGAAGACCTGGACTGAGGAGGCTAAGACTACGTTCACACTGCAGGTCTTAATGCTTAGATCGGATTTTTTGCCGAAATCTGATTTTTTTGCGCTGTTGTTCACACTGTCATTTAAATGTGACTGCCATCTGTCTCATGTGTGAACGGTATACGGCCCTGAGGTGACCCGCATGCGCAGAAGAGGCGCATGTGGGTCACGCCGCGTCTGAAGCTGAAAGCTGAAAGCTCAGGTTGCAGCCAACGACCCCTCGTCTATGTGGGGGAGCCTGAAAAACATCACTGGCTATAGAAAACCATCCCCCTCCGATGTGGAGGACCGTTAACTAGCAGACAAGAATGTGTTCTACAGGTTTGACAAACAACACTCCCCCCTCACCCTCCCCACCTCAGATCCAGCAGCTGCTCCCCCAACAATCACCACCTTTCCCTCCAGCCCCCCACCTCTAACGATCTGTGAAAAGGATGTGCGTGCCCTTTTCAAAAGACAAAAGATCAGAAAGGCACCAGGCCCAGATGGTGTGACCCCCTCCTGCTTGAAAGTGTGTGCTGATCAGCTGGCCCCCATCTTCACACTTATCTTCAACAGGTCACTGGAGCTATGCGAAGTCCCCTCCTGCTTCAAATGCTCCACCATCATCCCAGTCCCCAAGAAAACCTCCATCAGTGGTCTGAACGACTACAGACCTGTTGCTCTGACATCTGTGGTTATGAAGGTTACAGGTCACTGTGCACTAAGACAACCAGGCACAGGGACAGTTTCTTCCCCCAGGCAGTCGCTCTGATGAACACTTAACCCACGACAGTATAATCAGACAATAAACCTCAGTTCAATACTTATGTATATATACAATGTACAGATTATACAGAATCATAAAGGTCTCTAGTTTTAAGTACTCTATTTTTATCCCTATTTATCTCATTTCAATGAGATCTGCATTGTTTACTGTCTGTTTATACTGCTTTTTCTGCATTGTTTGCACTGTTTGTTGATGTTAATATTGCTATTTTGTTATATTACACAGCCTTATGCTGGTTTACTGTTTTGCACATCGAGAGCCGGTGTACCAGAGTCAAATTCCTCGTGTGTCCGTCACACCTGGCCAATAAACTGATTCTGATTCTGATTAAAGACTTGTAACAGCTTCTTGATCAGATGCACTTTGGTGATAAGATCTGATTGATCATATAGCAGTAAATGTAAAAAAGCAAATTATTATAGATAAGCAACCAATAATGAGCATCTACTATAACCTATACAAAATGGTTTTAAAACCATACATTCTTTGTAACTATGTCCATGTCATGCTGACTTAATGTGGAGATGCATCACAGTGCTGAAGCTGTCATGCTTTTCAGTTTTTCAATTGCTGGAATGCATTTACATTTTTCTCATTGCAAGACAGCAGCAGAAAGACTCCTTGTTTTGCTAGGCTCTTGCCTTTTTCTACTTGGCAAAATTTTCATCAGACTGCAGTTAGTAACTTTAGTCATCAGGTGGTGTATAAATTGATAGCCAAAAACATATTGATTATTACCAAACAAAACAAGAATGCTGAGTTCAATCAATTAATCAGCAGATAAAGATGTTTACTTTCAATCAACAGATACAGACTACTAATCTTCTACAGTAGCTGTATGTATGTGGATCTTATGAATAGATTACTTAATAACTGCGGTGATTTTAAAAGTAGTAAAACACATGGGATAACAGCATGAAGGAGTGGTGTAGTTTTCCTGACAGAGTATTTTGTTTCTTGGTTTGCTCTGAGGGTGTTCTCTTAATGAGCAACATCTGAAGTCGATCTGGAAGAAAGTGTCTGCCAAATGTCACAAATGCTCATTTAAATGGGTGAAAGGAGAGCGTAAGGCATTGTAAATGCAGAACATGGCCATCATAAAAACCGTGGCCATCTTCAATAGACATCAACATAATTACAATAAGAGTCACTGCTTCACAAAGTTGGGACTTCACGACAAACATCTGACAGCCATGATAGCTCTACATCCAGCCCTGCAGACAAGTATCTTTAAATGCATGGCAAGGACATTGGTGTGTGCATGATGCTGCCTGCATGCATAATATTAGTTCAGGTTTGTCTTTACAGTGTGCATGAATGCTTGTGTGTGTAAATGACCATTGATGTGTTTGAGAATGAAGGTACAAATGTTTTCCTTCACAGTTCACTGCACATGCGAATTGCTTGTGGAAGTGTAGAATGATGATGAGAATGATGAGAGCAAAATAAGCAAATCAAAAGTGAAAAAAGAAGCCCCTACAGTTTTAGAAATGCAAATGAAGCAGACACTAGCACTGTACATCTGTAAGTTCATATGCACTGAGTCAAATTATGACGCATGGAATAAAAAGTTAAACACTGCTCTGAGTATAAAATTCTTCTTCAAGATGTGTAAATCAAGTGTAAAATTTCTCATTTGCGAATTAATTTACTTACTTGAATTCCTTTATTAAAATCAAATATAACAATTTTATAAAGGGCAAAAATCCATCTTATCCTTCCTTGTGTTTGTCATTTAGACAATTTTTGATGTAAATGTATGTGGCATGATTTCACACCAGTGACAAACTGATCAATTTATTTGAAGGAAAACATGAATATGAGCCTGAACAACTTTGTGCATATGAGTGAGAACTTGTAGTGCCCTCAGTGATGACCAAGGACACATATAAATCTCTGACAGGGGATAAGGACGTGTGGAAAGGGCATTTGAAATGCACTTGAGCTATCAGATGGAAGGGAAATCTAAAGACAAATGACAGACACACTGGAGGACAAATCAGCCCTGAAGCTGAGGGAGCTGAGTTTGAAACACTGGCTGGAGAGGTTGCCAAGTTGGGCGGGGGCACATTGACTGATCTAGTCTGGCAACTATTGATCAAATATCAGCTCTATCTGTGAGGGAAAGCGTTAAGATTTAGGCATGGCTTGTTTAATGGATTAGTTTCCCGATGTTACTGTAAAGGAAAGGGCCTGTAAATCAGATTGGTGCTGACAATCCAGATTGT